CTAGGTATTAGTGGTTGTTACATGGTGATAATAGAGTAAAATCCTTCCTACTCTTCTAGTACCCACAATACTCTCCTCCATAATTCAGTCAATGTATCCTCAATCACATTGTCAACCTCCTATCTAAAGGCTTATTTACTTTCTAAATTAATAACATCCTTGCTTAATACTGTGTTATGGACCCCATCAGTGAAGAGACTAATTCATCTCTGTACACTCAGCTCTGAGATGAAATAAAATAAACTCCCAACTAACATTTACAGACTCCTCCTTAAGTTCCCCTACAAACCTGCTCCTCTTTTCCCGTTCTCTATTTTAGTAAATAGAATGCATCACCACCCACATGCTAGAAATCTCAACATCATCTTTGCTCCTCCACTCAGCCTAATCTGAATCACACAAGTCAGCAAGCCCTATGGATTCTCTCTGAAATGTCTTTTGAGTCTTCTCCCTGTGTGTCTTTGGACTTAGACTGTCCCCATCCCTGTTCTGGTCACTTGCCTCCTGACTCGCTCACTTTCTTCACATCTACCATAGGTTCCTTCCTCAACACAAACCTGATCATGGCAATGTTTTGCCTAAAGCCCCCTGTTGAGTCCTTCATCTCTACTGATTACTATCCAATTTTCTTAGCATGATTTCACAAACTAGTTGCAGATTATTTTCTACACTCCTTACCACACACCAGGTTACTTAACCTGCATGGGTGCATCTTGCACATTTCACTAAATCTTTTTTCATACTTTACTTTGCTTGGGATGTTTTAATTTCCTTTTTCTGTTTGCCAAAATCTTACTTGTTGTTTTCTCACGTCAGTAAAAATTAATTGTTCCCTGTATAGATTTACCATCAGTGTCCCCTCTCACCTTAAGCAAACCCAATTTATGAAAGTCCAATTTTATGATGAAAGCATATTATTGTTTTCAAAAATGTTTATAACATAATTTCTTTAAATAATTAAATCCCCAGGTATTTGAAGATATAATTCTATATGTAACAATTTGGTTTTGAGGAATAGATCTGTATTTGCAGAAAAAGTGGTTTTAGGGCCAGCCCTGTGGCTCACTCGGGAGAGTGCGGTGCTGGTAGCGCCCAGGCCGCGGGTTCGGATCCTATATAGGGATGGCCGGTGCGCTCACTGGCTGAGCGTGGTGAGGACCACACCGTGCTGAGGGTTGCGATCCCCTTACCGGTCACAAAAAAAAAAAAAAAAAAATTGGTTTTAATAAATACTCTGTCCTCCAGTGCTTTAGAGAGTGAGTGGCTCAAATAGAAATTTGGTCCCAGGACAGAGAGTCTGTAGCAGTTAATGATGATTAATGCCTGTGCACTTTTCAGAACATTGAGCTGAAGGTTGAAGTGGAGAGCCTGAAACGAGAACTCCAGGACAAGAAACAGCATCTGGATAAAACATGGTGAGTTGTAGTTTGAATTAGATGAGCTCTGGTCCTTTCCATCTGGCTTACTAATCTGAAAGCAATAGATTTGGAGACAAATTCCTTAACCTTATCTCTGACATTTGAATGCTGTATCTGATTCCAGAACTGAAACGATGGATTTTCATGTTCTTTCTTTCTCTTGGGCTGTCTTTTACTAGGTCAGATACACCTTGCCATCGATTGGTAAATCCACTAGACCTCGGATTATAAACTTCCTATTAAACAGCAATCAACAAATCAGGAAATAATGAATGTTCCTACTTTTAGAGAGATAAATGCAAATGTGCTTTATCAGAGATTATTAATCAATTGACTAATATCAAGGGCTGACATAATGTTTGGGGAAATGGTCACTCTCATATACTACTGGTGAGAGTGTGAGCTGTGACATTTTTGGTGTGTGGTGCCACTTATTAAAGTAAAAAAGAAGTATTTCCTTTGAGCAAAGAATCCCTAGAAGGAATCTATTCCTCATAAATAAAACCACTAATGTAAAAGTATAAGTGTAAAAGGATGTTTACTGTATCATTATTTGTAATGGTAAAAAACTAGAAACAACTATCCATCAATACAGCAATGGTTGCAGAACTTTTGGTATAACCATACTTTGAACTATTATGCAGCTATTAAAAAGAATGAGTTAGCTCTATACTATTGTCCTGGTGGGAAGTCTTTGATTAAGAAAGGGGGAAGAGTGCTGAGTGATGTTTATAGTATAAGCCTCTTTGGGTAAAGACAAACAGTCCTCTCTGTGTGTACATGTGTTTGATTATGCATAGAAAACAAGTGGAGGATTACACAACAAACTTTGTAACATTGCTTACATCAGGGGAGTGAGATCAGAGTTTGTGATGGAGAGAAGACTTGATTTTTTTCTTATAAACTTTTGTATTCTTAAAATGGTTACTTTTATAATTTATAGTATTTACAATTCAAAAAGTTACTTTTAAATGGCGAATATTATTAAAACTATTATTAAAAATATTTTCAAATTATATCCTGGGATCAATCTGATCTGGCATTCCTTCTGTGTCTACAGTATTTCTTAATATTTAGGATGACAATCCAGCAAGTTCAGAATAGTCAAAACCAGATTTAATTATATACAGTGTGCTGGTATTATGAAATTCCTATTAAGACATTAAGTGAGCTAATAGATTTTCCAAAAACTTATAGTAACAATTGGGTAATACATTTTGAAATTTGTTTAATGCTTCTTAAAAAAAAATTATGTCATATCAACTTTAAATTAGGTGGCATTATCCTATTTTGAGAAATGAGAAAACTAAGGTACAGCGAGGTTAAAGTCTTCTCAAATCAATGGCAGAGTCCACATCTTCCGGCATCTAGTTCGAGGGTCTTCTGACTTCATAACTGCTGTAGCCTCCTAAATCAGGCATTCCTGGCTAACTGAATTACTTAAGAAATGTATAACTTCCATTCCCTAGTGATTGTGGCTAGTGGTTGTCTATTGCATTTATCAAGGAATATGGAGTCAAAGTAAAAATTGATGATTCCTGAGATCTGCCTATTTGGGGGTATTGGGTTATTGTACAACCAAGCCACTAATAGGCGAAAAAAGGCTTTATAATAAAAAAGAAGCTCAAGATCGATATAGCTTCTGGGATGGCCACTATCAACCAAGGAATTAAATAATCTTTAGGGAAGCCCCATTTGGTCTCCACGGACACAAACTCCTGCGCCTTTTTTTTTTTTTCCCCCAGCTCTAATTTGTGCAGTAATTTTTTCTGAAATAACGCTTTAAAAAAAATTATTTATGAATATTCATGGGGTACAAAGCTGACTGTCACCACTCGTGCCCAAGATGTGATGGCCAGATCCGTACTGGCAACATGCCCATTACCACAAATTGTGATTATATCCCATGCCCCCCACCCAAGTATCCCCGACTTTCCTTCCCATCCTCCTTTCCCCACTCCACTTTGTATCCCTAGGTATGCTCTCTCTGGGCCAAGTATTAAAGTACCACTAGGCTTGGTACTTTATGAGCCTATAAAGGTTCAATACTGCCCTAAGAACAAGATGATAGTCTGTGGTTCTCAACAAATGGCTTAAAGCAGAAATAAAACCAAACCGGAATTAAGATCATTCAGCACCTGATACTGCCTCCAAATTTCTAATCCTCAGACATCCAAGAGCAGCTGTTGTTCACTATAAATAAGTTGGTGATACCTTACCCGCTTCATGCTAGTGCCTGGACATTCATTCCTAGGGATATCAGAGAAGGAAAGCTTGGCCAAAATCCTGAGCTTCCATAGATTAAATGTCAGCTCTGCAAGGGACCATGGGAAAATAGAACTCTGGGTAGGTATCCCAGATTCAGGACAGTCTGCTAAGGATTACTGAATGTAAAGGGAGAGATCATTTCTGTAGCTGTCCAAATGGATATCTTGTCTATTCCTTCTAAATGGAAGGAACACCTTAAATTCAAATAACAAGAAAGGCAGGGAACTAACAAAAAGCACTCTAGGAGAGCAGTCTAAAAGCTGAGTTCTGAGCCATCTGATGACTACCTGCCTTCTAAATGAAAGTTCTTCCTCGTGAAGCTATACCAATAATGAACCCTCTAGGGAGTCAAGTATATTTTGCTTGATGAGCAACAAAAAACTAGAGTTTCTAAAAGATTACCTGAAAAGGTTGGAAAGATCAGTTCTACAGATAATTGCACAGGAAAAAAAATGCTTCATTTTTCTTCTCATCAGTGTGACTCTGAATTACTGGAACAACTTTAATGGGTCCACTTGCTAAATTATATGTCTGGCTCTGACTGGCTAATTCTCTGTGGTTTTAGGGCTGATGTGGAGAATCTCAATAGCCATAATGAAGCTGAACTCCGGCGCCAGTTTGAGGAGCGACAACAGGAGACAGAGCACGTTCATGAGCTCTTGGAGAATAAGATCCAGCTTCTGCAGGAGGTGAGTAGAAGTTCCAAAGGTCCAAAACTAGGGGTCCTCTTTTATCTCTTTCCCTACTGTCCTGCCTTCTGGCTTTCCCCTTTTCACTCTCTATTTGCCCTCCCAAATTCATCAAGCATCCCTGTACCTTAGGGCTCCTAGCCCAGGTGTGGACTTTGTAGCCTCTCAGTTTTCCTTCTTTTTACAGGAATCCAGACTAGCAAAGAATGAAGCTGCACGGATGGCAGCTCTGGTGGAAGCAGAGAAAGAGTGTAACCTGGAGCTCTCAGAGAAACTGAAGGGAGTCACTAAGGACAGGGAAGATGTACCAGGAGACCAGGTCAAGCCGAACCATTATACTGAGGCCCTGGCCCAGAGAGACAAGTAGGTGCCTTCCGTGTTATGTTGTCTTTTCCTGTTCTCAAGGCTACAAGAACATACAGCAGCCACACTGTTCCCTTTTAAGGACTGCCAGTGGAATGTTCACCATATCTGAGACTTTATGGCCCTACAACTAAAGGTTTTCTTTTTAGGGTTCAGTCTTCAATGGTATCCACTAATAAAACTCACTTCTTGGAGGTCAGGAGCCTAAATAGGGATAAGTGAACAATTAAGTGGTCAAATGGTAGTAAGCAAGAGATTTGAATTTACTTATTCAGCAAACATTTACTGAGCACCTGTTACATGCCAGATACTGGGCTAAGCTCTAAGGTTATAGAATGAAAGACCCAGTTTCTGTCACCAAGAAAAACATTACACAATTTTAATAAGGAAGTAGCATGGGATGTGAGAAATAAATTTCTGTTTATATTCTACCCATTTTATAGCATTTTGTTATAGCAGCCCAAACAGACTAAGACAGTGCCAATTGAAGGTTTCCTGGAGGAGGTAAAATCTGAGCTGAATTTTGAAGAACGAACAGGAGTTAGAAGAAATGGGGTAGGAAGTAGATGGGGAAGGGAAATGTTCTATGCAGAAGAAGAAACCATGGCAGAAAGACACAGGGAAAGTAATATTTCAAGAACGATAAATAGTTCTATGTAACTAGAGCACAGGGTCTGGAAAGAGACTAGTGAGGAGTAAGCTGTTTTGGGAATATTGGTCTGATTGTGTCCGCTTTGTATATCATAATAAGGAACTTGTATTTTGTCCTGAAGGTCACTGGGCAGTTGAGGTTAACACCATCTCTACTGTCTAGGGTACTGCAGCAACTTCCTAAATGTTTTTTCTACTTCTAGTCCTGCCCCTTTCATTCCATATCAATTTAACAATTCAGAGCAGTTTTGAAGTGGAGAATCCAACAACATAATATTAGCAGATAGTTTAGCCTCTTAGGTGCATGATACTGTGGTGGCACAAAAAGCTTTAAGGAGCTTTTAACTGAACAGGCAAAAAACACATGTAGACACAATGACAATGCGATCTTTCCAAGACACATGTCGTTGCAGAGGTATTTAAAAAAGCTTTCCAATACCTTCAGGAAATAACATCTGTACTCCTTCACATGGCCATCAGAGCCTTTTATGATGTGCCCTCTGATTTCTTCCAGACTCATCACCCACCATCACTCCTTCACATTTCACTCATGCCAGACTAGTAATAATAATAATAATGGCTTGTTTAACAATCTAATGAAATAGGAACTATTATACTTTATAAATGAAGAAACTGGCATTTAGAGAGTTGTGTAACATGGTTTGAGGCAGTGCTGGAGTCCAAATTCCTCCAAAGCTATGTCAGGTCTCCAGAATTTTGCTCAAGCTTTTACTTCTGTGGGAAGCATCTGCCACGCTTTTCCCTTCTGGTAAATTCATTCATTCTTCAAACTTCACTAAGGCATCATTCATCATTCTCTGAAGGCTTTTGTGACAGCAGAATTAAGTCTCTGTATTGTTGCTTTGCTTTATATGCATATACATTATTGCACAATTTTGTGTGATGTTGTATTTGCTTTCAGATCTTCCCTGCTAGATCCCCTGAGATTTTGTTCCATCTCTGTTTTCAATAAACACTTGTTAAACTAAAAATTAACAACCCCCCCAAAAAAAACAACACATGCACAGCTGACAAATAAATTGAGACAGTTCATATCCAAACACCTTGAACAACTTTGGAGAGTAAGAGTAAGAGAGTAGAACATCTGTAGAGACTGAGGACCAAAAGGATGAGTGAGGTATGAGGCTTGAGAAAAGTAGAGGTGTTGTAGCACATGTACCATAGGGAACTTCATATGGAGTCCACATTCACCATCATCATCATCATCATCATTACAGTTTATATTTGTATGTTTTCAGGTTTTTAAAGTTCTTTCTTATCCCCAAACCTTAGCCGATCCTCACATTCTAAATGAATTTATCATTTGTTTATGAGATTCCTACTTAACTTTCTGGTGCCCCTCACCTTTCTGCCAAACTATTTTCCTTTCAAGATGCTATCACTATATTACACAGGAATCATAATCACAATTGGAAATATTTCATCTAATACCCAGCACATTTTCAAGGATCTGGCGGGTATTTCTAGTACTCTAATACATATAGAGAAATAGCAAGATATGCTTTTCATATAGTAAAGAACCATGGGTTCAAATCACATAACTTTGTTTGATTTGAACCCATAGTTTTGTACACTTCAGCACAGCATGCAGTCTTTTACAATTTAATCTTAGTCTGAATTTCCAGCCTCTTCTCTAGCCATTGCCTCCTCCCTGCCACCTTTTTTCCCGTAATTCTTCCCCAAATACACACTGTATCTTCATGCCTTTATTTCTTTGTTTAGGCTCTTCCCTTTGAGCCTGGAAAACAACCCAATCTTCCACATTTCTTCTCCTGAGCTTCCCCAAACTCCTCGAAGTCAAACAAATCACTTCTTTATCTTTCTTCCTATAGTTCCATGTCAGTATTCAATGTACTATATGTTATATATCTCTACTATGGTAGCACTTATAACATTCTACTTCTGTTATTTGTTTATGTAGTTGTGTTTCCTCACTCCCCAAACCACTAGCACATACACTCAAAGAATTTAAGTTTCGCAACGCAGAGATTGTGTCTTTCCCAACAATATATTCCCAGTACAGTAGAGTGCACTGAGTAATAGTTGTGTTTCCTCACTCCCCAAACCACTAGCACATACACTCAAAGAATTTAAGTTTTGCAACGCAGAGATTGTGTCTTTCCCAACAATATATTCCCAGTACAGTAGAGTGCACTGAGTACACACAATGGTTATCTAAGAACAGTTTTTTGAATGAGATAGCAATGACCAAAATAACAACCTCTGGGCCCTTATTCCAATAGTTAACATACCTATGGCTTATAGATCCATGGATAGTCTTCAGGAAATCCATAAACCCAGTGAAAATGTAAGCAAAATATTGTGTGTATCTTTGGAGGCTAGGGAAGAAAATACATGGCTTTCTGAATAAAAGTATTGAAGGTAAAAACCTACTGTTTTAGACCATACTATCTTTGGAATGAGCTAAAAAATAAAGGTAATAGTATCATAATGATAATTGTTGTTCTTTTCCTTTGCTCCAGGAGAATTGAGGAGCTGAGTCAGAGTCTGGCTGCCCAGGAGAGGCTTGTAGATCAGCTTTCTCAAGAGAAACAACAACTGCTACATCTGCGGGAGGAGCCAACTGGCATGGAAGTACAGGTAAGGTTTGTGCTGTATGTCCTGAGGCACTTGCTTCATGCTTTCATGAGCCCTACTTTTTTTTATATCTAAATGTATTACTTATCCATTGCTGTGTTGCAAATTACTACAAAATTAGTGGTTTAAAACAATATACATTTATCTCACAGTTTTTGTGGGTCAGGAATCCAGACATGGATTAGCTGGATTCTCTGGTCAGGGTCTCACAAATTTGTAATCAAGGTGTCAGCTGAGCTGTTGTCTCATCTGGAGGCACACCTAGGAAATGATCCATTTCTAAGCTCCCTTAGGTTGCTGGCAGAATTTAATTCTGTGTGGCTTCAGAAGTTATGGGGCTTGCTTCTTCATAACCAGCAGTGGAGCTGAAGATTCGGTTGCTTCTCCCACTCCTAGACCCTTTTTTAAGGGTCTAATCTGATTAGGGTACACCCACCAGTATAATATCCCTTTTGGTTAACTTAAAACCAACTGATTAGGAACTTCAATACATTTGCAAAATTCTTTCAGTTTTTCTGTTTAACATAGAATAACTATGCAGTGACATTCTATCACTTTTGCCAAGCTTTATTAATTAGAAGCAAGTTACAGTTTCCACCAATACTCAAGGTTTGGGGATTACACAAAGGTGTGGATACTGGGGATGGGGGCACAATCAGAGGGGCCACCGTAGAATTTTGCCTTCTACACTGAGCGATTTAGAACTATGGAGAACATATGTTGTAGTTTTAATATTGAAAAGAGAAATCCTCATTATCGTGAAAATAACTGCATTGATTTTCATCTATATTGTTGTTTTTGGAGATTACCTCAGAGGGAACTCCCCTCCTCCATTCAATTTTTAATTTTTTAAAAATATACTTTCTAAATGAACCCTAGAATATACCTGTGCCCAAGCAACATAAATAATTTCCAGGTATTCTTACATTCTTACATTGGTCTTAGATCAATGATAAAACAAAACATGTGATTTAATTTATTGGTTCACATATACAGAGGCTGAAGTCAGGATAAAAGAACAGTGATAAGAATTAGTTTACACCTGTGCTTCCTTACCTTTTCCATGCATGGTACATATAGCAAATAATAATATTTGTAAGGCATAGAGGTAAATAAATAGAGCTTCTCACTTGGAGGTGGCTAGTCTGTGTGCTTAGGCCATAATGAGGGCAGAAGAAATCATTATCTTGGTCAGACTAGTAAACCTCTTAGAATGTGGCTCCATTTTGGTTGGAAGGATCTGGTTAACAAACTCAAGAAATGATGTGTGTGCAATGTAATTTGACAGATAGGAGTAAAAATTAAAATTCAGAGGCTATACATATTGAAATACAGGTGGTCTCTGACTTGACGATGGTTTGACTTATGATTTTTCAACTTTACAATGGTGAGAAAGTGATATATTTTGAATTTTTATCTTTTCCTGGGCTAGCAATATGTAGTACAATACTTTCTTGTGATGCTGGGCAGAGGTGGCAGCCTGCAGCTCCCAGTCAGCCACATGATCATGAGGGTAACTGATACTCGCTGGGCAGGCAGTAAGCTGCAGCTCTCAGTCAGTGTACTGTATTCGATAAATTTCATGAAATATTCCACACTTTATTATAAAATAGGCTTGGTTGATAAATTTCATGAAATATTCAACACTTTATTATAAAGTAGGCTTTGTGTTAGATAATTTTGCTCAACTGAAGGCTAATGTAAATGTTCTGAGCATGTTTAAGGTAGGCTGGACTGGGTAAGCTTTGATGTTAGGTAGGTTAGGTGTATTAAATGCATTTTCGACTTCCAACATTTTCAACTTACAATAGATTTATTTGGGACATAACCCCAATTTAAGTCAAGGAGCATCTATATATGGAAAGTTTCTGAAGGGACTCTTTAAAAAGATCCCATAACACTTTTTTAGTAGGAAGAACTCAACTAGCATAAGGAGAAATGGATTTCTATCCTGATTCTTTTTTTACTAGTTATATGACTACGGATATGTTACTTCTCACCTTTCATAAGTGTAAAATGGGAAGATTAGCCCAAAAAATATCTAAAATCTCCTATAATACTAACATTCTATTACAATGACTCCAGCATCACTGGAAAAAAGTATTAGCCCCCAAAATGAACACTTTCAAAAGAAGAATACTTGTGTAAATTCTGAAATAAAATCACTCATTGCTCTAGTTTTATATTTACAGACACATACATACTGATATATATGTATATATATTTATTTTCATCATTTTCTTTTGTGTGCACTGAAGTGGATATATGTAGTTCAGTATTTGAAATGCTAAGGAGGAGAATTTGTTTGGAATCAGTTTTCAGAACAGATTTGAAAAACTGAAAGATTATAATTTCAAATAGACAAAATTATTTAAATTATATTCTAAATGAATGCCTAAAAAAGAGATAAGTACAGCATCCAGAGGATAATAATATTGCATGACCACTGGGTAGGAAAAAGAAATTCATAAAGTCACATAAATTGTACTAAATCTATATGCTTCTTTACTGTTGCCTGGAATCTATAAAAATGTATTGTTACTGTTGTTATTCAACATTTTGTACATTTAGAAACCTGACCATATTGTGCTGTTAATTCTGTAAGACAATGGTGCCCAAACTTTTTCATAGAAAATTCATTTTCATAGGAAATGATTATACATCAGTGATACTTTGAAATAAGTGACTGGAGCTGTTCGTCGTTGGAGGTAATTGCCCATAGCCACTTCAGGACCTATCTACCACCCTCACAGCTGGAGGGAATCGGTACCTCTGCACAAAGGTGGGCCACTTTGAGGCACACTGTGCTAGAACACCCACGTTGGAAAGCTTTGCCACAGGTGGTCCTCTCTGGGGTGGAGGACAGAAAGCCTCCCACAGCTCATTTCCTACTTTCTCCCTTTGGCCCTATGGCTTTTGGAAAAAAATAATCAGGCTGTAAGTACTGACAGCGTGAACAGAATTTTATTATTTCTAAAACATCCCAAAGTGGTCTGGCCAGAGAATGCAGCCTTTTAGTGAGTGTCCAGATAATCCTGTGAGAACTTCCTTCTTCTCTCAATGTGTGTTTAGATTCAAAGGAATGGATATGTTTTTTGGTCACTATGCTTCTGTCTTGTACTCTGTGGCCCAGATGGAAAGAAATGTTGAAGTGATTTCTATAATGTCTTGGGATCTTTTAGCCATACTCAAGTGGTTCAGACTGACTTATGGAGGGATACAGTCAAGTTCAAGTTCAGAGAAAGAATCCTGATCCTTTGATAATTGATTCTAGTATGAAGTCCCCTGGATTCAAACTAGGGAAGCAGAGTGGTATGAAAGAATGAGCTCAGGTTTTGTAGTTTGAATCCCAGCACCACCACTTTTTAGATGCATAGCCTTGGATAAGTGAAATAACCTCTGCAAATACAGTTCTCTTCTCTGTAAAATAGGGATAAAAATACCTAATGTTCATTTCTAATACCTTTGATAAGGATTAGAAATAATATATATGTTGTGCTCAGCATATTGCTCAAAACACAGTAACTACTATTATCATTATCCATATTAACAATCTGAGGCAATTCTTAAAATAAGTAGCAGCTATAAAGACAAAAATAAAATTAATAAATATAGCAGTCATTCATTAGTGAGGTTAATGGTCATAATTCTCCTTCTGCACCTGTTACCCTTGCACATACAAGAACTGGGGTTTTTTGTTTGTTTTTTTTCTGACTGGTAAGGGGGTCATAACCCTTGGCATGGTGTCGTCTTTTTTTTTTTTTCTGACTGGTAAGGGGGTTGTAACCCTTGGCACGGTGTCGTCTGCACCATGCTCAGCCAGTGAGCACACCGGCTATCCCTACATAGGATCCGAACCCGCAGCCCTGGCGCTACCAGCACCGCACTCACCCCAGTGAGCCACGGGGCCGGCCCTACAAGAACTATTTTACAGGCAAAGACTGAAATCAAAGTTTCCAATTTGTGTTACTGCTTCCCAGGAGGACCACAACAGAGTGTGAATGTTTCAAGGCAAATTGGTCACAATGACTATTATATTTTACTTTAATTTCCTAGATTAAAAGAAATATTGAAGCACTTTCTATAATATCAAGGGAATATTTAGTCATACTTAAATGGTTTAGATTATTATAATATAAAACCTAAAAGTGAATCCACAGATTTCTCAAATGCATATTCCAAGTGTAATTTAAAATATTTATAAATGAATATTCAACAAATTCTCTATAGTAATAACATCAGCACATATGGTAGCATTTCCTATGTGCCAAGTGCTGCTCTAAATACTTTATATATTAACTCAAATTAATCCTCAAACAACTCTGTGAGATAGATATAAAAGAGACATAAAGCGAAAGTAACATAATAAAATAACATTTATTTTAATATGTAAATTCTTGGGTTCAACTATGTGAAAACACATAAAGAAACAGTCGGGTGCTTGTACCTGTATAGAAAAATCACTGTAAATGTCCTAGCTTCAAATTCAGTGTGATAAAGGTATGTTATGCTGGCATTTCAAAAACAGCAAGGGGCTATGCCATTAGTAATGAGCATGTGGCAATACCAAGCTGACAATCTCTTGGTAAATTTCCAGACAAAATCCAATCTTCCCTTAATTTACATAGTAGTTTAAATTCATGGAAAATTCACTGTATATTAACATTGTGGTCATATATACAGCAGAATTAAGTTCTAGGTTCAGATGATTATAAACAGTTTTTTACTTCCATTAGCATTCAGTGGAACATTCGAAGGTCATTTGGTGTTTGGGACAATGCTTTGTCCTGCCCATTGCAAGTTATGTAGCACCTCTTGCCCTTGCAAGTTATGTAGCACCTCTTGCCTCACTGTGACAACAAAAACAACAACATGCCACGAATTTCCAAGATGCACTTTAGGAGATGGTGAAATTGCTTAGGGAGAATCACTGGTCTACGGGGGCCTAGCCTTCAAAGGGCTTCAAAGCCTTGAAAGATTGGCATGTAAACAAAATTAAAATG